GAGTCGTTCAACCACATCCAGAGATCCAGGAACAGCCCACTACTGGTGTGGCGACATGGGGAGAGGTCTGCTCAGGAAGATGGGCTATAGAACCTTTTTGCAGAATCCTAAAGTTGAAATGCTGAGATGAGGGAACCTTGTGTCTGATGCCCTTTTGAGCTGGGGATCTCTTGGCATGTTAAAAGACTAGCAAATTTTACTTGGCTGAAGCCTTCATGGATTCTAGCCTATTTCTCCATACTCAGAAGGTATGCATTTTTAAATGCTAAAAGTAGATTTCTGATCACTTTGGCTTGTTTTCTTTTTCTTTCCCCACCTCATTTTTGGAGAAAGATGTGGCTCCGGATGAACCCGGGGCAAGAAGCTAGTCCTCATGAAGCTATCAAAGTTGCCCATCTCTGCTCTCCATCACAGACTCGTTTAGGAATGCGACGCGTTTGTGCTTTACGCTACCGAAGAAGGCATTTTCTTCTCTCCCTTAACAGCACTTAAACAGTAGATTAAAAGGACTGCTGTTTTATTTCCATTTCTTGTATGGATGGCTCTTTCTTTCGTTTTAGATTAAAAACTCTGAAGTGTACAGAGTGTCTGCGCTCCCTAGAACAGTGTTTCCCAACCTGGCGTCCCTTCACCACTCGTTGTGCTGGCTAGAATTTTTGGGAGTTGTAGTCCAGGAACATCTGATCTAAAATAATGAAAGACAATGGTTATCCATGTGTGTACCTTCCTTCATTCTTCTAAGAGCATGAAACCCTAGCTGAGTATTTCACCCAGTATATGATATTATAGAGGATACATGTCTGACTGTGACAGATCTCCAGGACATAAAACTTTACCACCTGAAACTTGGTTTGCACATGGAAAGTATCTTTGTTTTCTCAATAACCCTGAGTAACTTCAATGAATGTAAATGTGTCCGTGTATATCAAGCCTGTAGTACCATTTTCAGTCACCGGGTGGCGGACTTCCCTAATCACTACATAGCTTTATCAATTTACATCATAGAACCATAGAATAATTGAGTACAAGGGGCCTATCAGGCCATCAAGTCCAACCCCCCTGTTCAATGCAGGAACCCAAATCAAAGCAGATCTGACAGATAATTGTCTAATCTTGAGAAGTTGAGAAGTTTTTCATAATATTCCACCTAAATCTGGGTCGCTGTAGCTTGAGCCCATTATGATGTGTCCTGCACTGTGCAATGATCAAAAACAGATCCTGCCCCTGCTCTGTAGGACTACCTTTTAAATATTTGAAAAGTGCTATCCCATCTCCCCTCAGTCTTCTTTTCTCAAGGTTAAACATGTCCAGTTCTCTCCGTCTTTCCTCCTAGGGCTTGGTTTTCAGTTCCCTGATCATCCTGGTTGCCCTTCTCTGAACTTGTTCTAGTTTGTCGGCATCCTTTTTAAAGTGTGGTGTCCAGAACAGGACACAGTACTCAAGAGGAGGCCTAACCAGGGCCAAATAGAGGGGCCCGAGCACCTCAATGGATTTGGAAACGAGCGTATTTTTCCATGTATAAGACTATACTTTTGTCTAAAATCTTTAGACTAAAAATTGAGGGTTGTCTTATGCATGGAAGTAAGCAGAGGAGAGAAAAAACAAATTGAGGGGAAAGCAAAGCGATCCTGCAGCCGGTGAGTAATGGTACTAGATTTAGTGTTTGAAGGAAAGCAAGTTCAGGGCTGGTTCTTGGAGACAATTTGGAAATACCAGGGCTCTAAAGGCTGGTTGAGGAAAAGCTCAAATTCTGAGGTGGGAGAAAAGGTGAGAAAATAGGTCTAGCATTCTTGATATTTGCCTGTCCTTACCTTTAAAGCACTCCTGATTTTTCTATGGAGCCAGAAAATGGTGGTTCAATTCCTCACAGTGCCTACTACACCTAGAGCCAGCCTGGGTAGCCTTGGGCAACTGCACAGTCCCAGGGCTCCCCCTAGAGGAAGGGAAGGGTAAAGTGGAGTATTCTCTACCTAGAAAATGGAAAAAGTGGACACTGTAAGTCAGAATTGATGTGATGGCACATCAGGACAATGATGAAAACAAACACAATCACATTAGGCAGGACTCTTGTTTCTAACAGATCTCTTCAAAACAGGGGGCACATATTAAAAATATTTAATAACAGAGATGCAGGCCCTGTGAGTGGCGGTGATAGGTGGAGGTTCCACCCCAATGGGAATGCACTTTCCTCCCCATCTGATCTGCCCTCCATGCCCTCTTCTTCCTTCCTTGGGGACGTATTTCCAGACTCCACATTTGGCCTTGCTCACCCCTGCCCTGGGCTCCCAGGAGGCAGGCCAGCGGCATCTCTCCCCTCCTTCCTGTTCTGACGGGCAAAGTACAAATTTCACCTCTCCTTATCAAACGCAATCAGTCTGGATTGT